CGGAAGGATAGTCCCAACGATTCTTTCAACTGTCCTCACTACCCTTGTGAGGCACTTGTGAGCCTGTTCTGATTTTTCCAAACCAAACTAATACAGTATAGACCCGGTCAGGGTACTTTCGATTGGAGTTTGTAAAAATGAACTAAGGTCGTAGTAGCCATGCCATGTCTCATGTAATAACGTCTCCGCTGTGCTTTTTTTTTTTTTTTAATTAAATGGCTGGCATTTAGTGCACAGGAATTTAGAAAATCTGAATGCCCATAATTTTTAGACTGGACACAACTTCTACTTTGTGATTATTTATAAGCAGGGCTACGTTTAAAGATTTTGTTTTACTGATGTCAATTATCAGCTCTTTAGTCTTATCAACATTGAGGAATAGGTTATCGAAACCCCATCTGAACAATACCTTCATGTTATCTCTCATGTCTGTTCTAAGACCATTTATAATAGTACTGTATCACCTGCAAATTTGATAATCCTACTGGTATGGTGCTTGCCACACAATCATAGGTATACAAACTATAAAGTAATGGACTGAGACAGCAACCCTGTGGAGCACCGGTATTCATGACTATGGTAGATGAATAAATATTCCCAGTCTGCTGTCTTCCTGTCGGAAATTCATATAGGCACATACAGATGGAATTGGAGCAACAGTCACTTTAGACACAAGTCTAGATGGAATAATTGTAATACTGGCACCACTGTAATAAATAAACAACATCCTAACATATGTTTGTTATGCTCAAGGTGTTCTAGTACAATATGAAGAGCTCAAGATGAAAAATCATCCACAGGTCTATGGGTCAATACAGACAGATATGTTATGCCTGATGTAGGACTTAACCGGTTTTTCAAAACACTTCGTAATTATTGTTAAAGCTACAGGTCATTCAGGCCTGTGAAATGAGGAAGAGAAAATCCAAGGAAAGTAAAAAAAATATAAATCCCATGTGCTGCAGTCGATGTAAATAAGTTTATACAACGCAACGTACAATTTTACAAAAATTGTAAAAGTATTATTCCTGAATATTTATTTTACTTTCAACCACTTGACATGTTCAGTGGCATCAGTGCTATACATACACATATAGTTCTTATTGTTTTCTTTGTATTTTTGCCCTCTATGGACAATAAAAGCGGTATTGTGCTATGACCAAAACATAAATATAAATCTATATAAATAAAACATGATCTTAAACTTTATTCAGAATCATACGGAAGAGGATTAGGGCCAATGGAAAAAAAAAAGGTTGGCAAGATTCTCACTTTAAAGTCAGAATTCTGACTTTAATCTCAGAATTCTGACTTTAATCTCAGAATTCCGACTTTAGTAGAATCAAAACACAATTATTTCATAAATTAGATCTACCTGACAATCTGTAATTCGACAACTTCAATTTCACTAGTTTGGAATGTTTTTTTCATTGTACGTCATCCACCAAACGTGTCCTCCCGCCCAATCCATACTTGATATCTTGGTGGCATAGCACACAGTAAGCCTTGCCTGGTTCCTTGATTTTACGAATGTGTTCATGCAGGTACTCATTCCCATTGCACAATATGCCTTCTTGCGACAGACATTTTTTCATGTTCTCGTAACAAACCTTGACTACTGGCAGTGTTTTTTCCTTATCAACACGTGCTTCAAAGCAAATGCCGAGAGTGGAAAGACAGAAGTTGGTGCAAATGCCGTAAGGCATTCATTGCATTGTCGTAAAAATTGGAGGTATGGCAATGTCGTTGGTCGCACAATGCACGTATGTGATGCAAGGTCACGCTCTTTTCAGCCCGCGTTAAGATCTTGTCGGCTTTGCTGAGTTGCAGACAAAAAATGTTCGACGCTCAGCTGGCGTAAAACTCTGCGTGTCTGGCTGTATCGAGCCACGGTGTAGGAGGCACGGTCGCTGCGCAAGGCTATTAAAGCCAAGTAGACCCCTAGCCCCCAATGATTTAAAATGTAATGTAATGTAAAAATAGAGGTTTTGTGAAAATCATATTTTTCACAACAGAATCCGCGGAAATTTCACAGCCGTTGTCATTCAATCATATAGAGTACAAGTATTTTTCTTGAAATGTTTTTTTGAACTGTCGGTGAGGCATTGGACTGTTCCATGAACCATTATGCACTTTGGGAGGGGGGGGGGGGCAAAAAACACTTTCAC